TTATCTTCCACACACAATTTATTTTATGGAGTGCAGTGTTACCTTGTTCTAGAATAAAAAATAAAGTCAATTAAGATCTTTCAGCTAAATTGTTATAATTTTGTCCTTTGGAACCTGTATAGGTGCCTCCCCTCTCTGCTCTCCTGGGGATTGAACCCAGGGTGCTTTACCACTGAGCTGCAACCCCAGTCCTTTTTATTTCATTTTAAAAATTTTGAGACAGGGTCTTGCTAAGTCCCTGAGGTGCTCACTAAGATTGTTGAGACTGGCCTGAAATTTTTGATCCTACCTCAGCTTCCCGAGTTGCTGGGGGTTACAGGCCACATGCTCAACCTATAGGCTCTCTTCTGCTGCTGCTCAACCTCTAAATAATGCTGAAAGTTGCATCCTTATTCTTTTTATCTTCTCACTCTCATTCATTCCCAAAAGAGTAATCTCAGTCTTTGGCAACCATTATGGTGTTCTCCAGAACATTTAAACCACTCCAAAATTTAATCTAATTTCTTCATGGTAATTCCATTCCCTTTGTCTGCAATTTGGGGTAAGCAGGCCTAAACCAGTTAAGACCAGTGAGATTCAAGTAAGACCAGTGGACAGTCTTACTGTCCATCACCTGTTGTACTGGGAATAGGGCTCAGTTGCTCTAGCAGACATTTTGTGAAATGAGGGGAGCTAGTTTAAGCATGAAGTCAATAGTGGGGACAGCACAGCAGTGAGTTACAAATATCTGAGTTCCAAATGACATTGTTGGGCCAGGGAATCTACCCACCCTGCCCTATCAGTGGACTTCCTGCTTTTCAAGCTGATACACTTCCATATTGCTTAAGCCAGTTTGAATCAGGTGCCTGTGATTTGGACCTGAAAGCATTCTACCTCATTTACACTTAGAACCATGAATTTGTCAAACTCACTCTCGTGGTCTCAGGCTTAAAAACATTTCCCAACCTTGTTACTCCTCTTCCTGGGTTCCCCACAATTTTCTTTTTCTTTCTTTCTTTCTTTTTTTTTTTTAAAGAGAGAGAGAGAGAGA